GACGGAGGCCTTCGCGCGGCCGGACCGCTTGGGCGGAGGGGGGGGGGTCGTTTGGGGCGCTGTTAAGCCGCCGTGGGTTTTTTTTTTCCGCGGTTTGGCTTTTCGCGCGACGGGCGCGGTGGTTAAAAAGGGGGGAGGGGGAGGAGGGATGTCCCCTTCCCCCGCGGGTTTGCCTTTTCGCCCCGGTGAAATCCCGACGGCGCTCATGTGCATGCCCCTCCTCGAATCAATTAACCCTGTCGTTCTTTTTTCCTCTCTCGCCCACCACCCAAACCCCCTTTTTTTTTTTTCACTTGGGTGGGTGATTTGACGATTCGATGAAGGGCGCCACCAACCCTGGTGAGGCTTTGTATGGTTCTCCCGGCCGAGTGGATGCCTTTCGCTCTTCTTACGCTAACTTCTTCTTCGAGAAAAGCGACCTCGCAGGTAAACCAATAGTCAGAAAACAAAAACGAAGGAAGGAGAGGATGTGGTGAACCCGACTACACCGCCTTTGGGATCGTTTTCGAATTCCACAAGATTCCTATTGATCCAATCGCATGCAGCATCTTCTAGTTATATCATAAATGGTTAGATTTGTTATACAAAATGTTCTATCTGTTAAGTTAGAAATAGACAAACTTAAATCTTATCGATCCCAAAAAATCCATCACCGTTTTATTCCTGCGCGCCATATAATGATCGCACCCCACCATTAGTCATCCCACCTTTCAACAGGCCAAATAGGATGCATTTCTACTTCACCTGCATCCTTTAACAGAAAGACGACGTTCGGCGTCGTCCTCAGCAAATTATGAATCGCCCGACAGATCAAGGTCGTATCCAAGCACCTCTTCCCCTCCAAGGAAATGAGGGGTACGCTTATTCTTATTCTTATCCTTTTCGTTTTCGCTTTCTCTCCGCCAACATCGCGCGTGTGTTGCGCTTCAACACCTTCTTCGCATCCTTGACCAGAAGCCCTGTTTTGCGGGTTTCCCGAATCGACGCCATGCTCGTCGCCAAGGTTGCCAACACCCCGTTGAGCGTGCTGAGGGCCTCCTCTGATTCCTCCTCGTTGTCTTCCGCTTCCACTATGTCCTTTTCGTTTTCCGCTTCTACCCGCCGACGTTTTTGTCGTTTTTCGAGCGGATGATCGAGGGGGGTGGAGGGGGAAGAAGTCGGGCGCGGTTGCGGCGACGCCTTCGCAGCTCCCCCGCACAACCCCTCCCGCCGCAGTTCGAGTTGTTGTTGAACCACCTCCGCGGCCTGGTGGGCGAAACTTGCGAGGGTGTGGGAGACCTCCCCGGCCTTTAAACTCACCCTCAGCAACGGGGTCACGGTATCGCGCACAAAGGTTAACACCCCCATTCCCTCCCGCAACAACCACCCGACGGGATCGGACCCATCCGGGTTGGGAGGACTCGCCTCCTCGTGGCTGGGCAAGACCGCGAGGTAGCCTCCGAAGAACTGCACCATCGTCGCGCTCCGCACGAGGTAATTCACGACGCTTCGCTGCCGTAAAATCGGCGCGACGGTGGTGTGCATCTGGCGATGCAGCTGCGCGTATTGATGCTGAATGAACCCCCTGACGACGTCGGCCTCTTTCGCGCGGTGATGGCCATTCCGTCCCCTCGATTTCCCCTCCGCGTGGTGGAGCAGATGAAGCGACAGGGCGGCGGTTGCCTTGCTCGCGTAGACCATCACCTTCAGCGCGTCGCTGCGGGAGGGATGGCGAATCGCCTCGTGCGCGGCGTAGCGCTCCCTCGAAACATCCGAGGCCTCCACGCGGATTAATAACCGCTTGAGAAGGGCGGAGAACTGCTGAAGCACCGCCATCGCGGCCTCCGGCGGGTCGCCACGGGAGGAGGAGGAGCCCCCCCCCCCCCCTCCCCTTTGGTCCCCGCCCCGCACGCCCTCGCGGCCTCTGCGGAAGAAGAAATAGGGCAGGTCGCTCGTAAACGCGGGATCCTCGGCGGCCGTCTCGTCCGGGAGCCCCTCCTGCAAGTACCCACACCGGGGCTCGACGTAGCGGTAGAGGTAATCCCGCAAGATCCGCAGCGCGACGGCCTGAACCCACGGATGCGTGTGCACGATGAGCCGCTCCACGAGGACCGTGAAGAGGTCCTTTCCGAACAGCCGATACATCCGCTCCGGGAGCGCGACCGTCATCGCCTCGACGCAGCGCAGGCTGTAGAAGATGTAGGTCCATCCCTTCCGCTCGATCCGCCGGCGCGCCTTGGCCGAGAGAGGGGTGGCGCCCCGCGTGCGTCGGGCGGTGGGGG